TTTTTTTACTCCTTTTATCTTTTCATTGTGTCCCTTCTTCTCCTTCCTTACTTCTGCTGGTATTCTTTAATCAGCCTCTTGGCTTTGCTGTATTTCCTCTCCAGGGTTTGATACTGAGCCTGAGTTTCCTTCAGGTGTTCATCCACAGCCTGAAAAGACAAATACTCGCTGTGAGTAAATGATAACAAACTAGTTTTAGGGTGACAGTGAGCTCATTTTATTTTCGAAACACTTGATTCGTTCGTGCCTTTTTGAAGTTTAGGTTTACCATCTTACCTTACATAGAGACTGTGCCTCCATCCAGTAGCCCTCAAGTTTTTCCATCCTCTCTTTACTGTCCCGGATATTTTGCTCCAACTGAGCACGCTCCATCCGCCAACGCAACTTATCCTGCTCTGCGTGAGCCAGCTGGAGGTGGGGTGGGGGTCAGTGTGGGAGGAGGAGGTGGTATGTGGGAGGCATTAAGTCATCATAGAGCCAAAAAGAACTGGTGTTATGCATGTGTGCATTCTCTTCTGCAGTGCAACCTGAATGTGCCGTTGTTTTGAGGCTTTTTTTGCCTGCATGTGTGTAAGTGTGTTAAACAGGCTCACCTTCCTCTTGAGCAGCTGGATCTCAGCCTGGGTTACTGCGTGTTTAATCTGGAGCTGCAGACAGAGGGAGAAACAATCTGATTTCTTTAACAAACAAATAAACATAACACAAATCAAGCTAGGTAAAACTTAAACAAAAGACTGAATAAAATAATGACTTTTAACATCCAAATCATTTATATCACATGTACCTCTTTGAACTTGTGGGCCAGTTTCTCTGGGTCCAGCTCCACAGGGGACAGCATTTCCTGGTTTTCTGCCAGATCGAAAACCTCTATCGAGTTCGGAAACATCGGACTCATCTCCTCCTCCTCGTCTGTCGCATATTCACCTGTCTGCAGGTAAACACACACGCAACAAATACATTTACATTTAGTAATAGATGTGATATTTTATACATATTGTATGAGTAGGTTTTACAGGCATAAGGTTACATAGCAGACCAATGATTGCATCCGATATGGAGCTGGAGTAGCTGGTTAGTATAGATCAGGGGACCCCAATCCCAGTCCACTGGGGCCGGTGTCCCGGCACGTTTTAGATGTCCTTGAGCCATCACAGCTGATTTAAATGGATAAATCATAAATCTCAACATGTCCTGAAGTTCTCCAGAGGCCTGGTAATGTTGACCCAGGGTGAGATCTAAAACCTGCAGGACACCGGCCCTCGTGGACTGGGATTGGGGACCCCTGGTATAGATGGTATAAAAGACTGACTTCCAGGTTTGAAAAGGAAGGCCAACACAGAGTGGCTTAATCCCTCATAATAGCCACCAGGAAACAATGCATGTGGTGGTAGTCCAATAGAGGTCTGTGACCTCTAGAGGACAGTAGCTATGAAAGGTGATGTCCTTCATTAGTTTCTAGTCCATCTCTATCTTGGTTTGAAAGGAAAAACAACAACAACAACAACAACACGAGAAAGAGGAGGGTTGGGTTTGACTGAACCCGC